TAACAGTTAATTAATCTTGTATTGCCTATTTACTTAGGAAAAAAAATCAATGAATAAATATTTTTCTTATATAAAAATATAATTGCACAAAGATTTTTTACATCGTTCTAAAGCAAATAACACTTTGATTCTTATAAATAGAGCTGGTAACTGTTTTGTATACAATTATGTAGTTATACAAAATAAAATACTTTGTCCTGTTTTGTTCCATCAAATCAAAATAACATTTATTGTGAATTTAATTCAATTTTGTTTTTGTAACTAAATTAAAGAACACCGTATTTGAAATGAAAGATTGGGATTGTCCACTAAATTTGGTCATATCAAGTGTTTAGACCTACTTCCTATTTATAACTAATGAGGTTACAAATTGAATAATAACTTATATTTCTATGGATTTGGTAAAATATAAAATTATGAACATTATTTCATTTAAAATATATAAACATATCTTTTTTTATATAACATTCTTGAGAGTATAGAAGTTTTATTTTAATTTGTTTATTATTATTAACCAGTTTAAAATTAATTTTAAGAGATCTTGGCTCATGTTTAAGACAAAAAGCTTCGTTTTGTAAGTTTAATCGAGATCGGTGGTATTTTATATAATCTTAAACTGTTTTCGGTATATTAGATACCAACACGTTTTCGAATATTTATGACGATACAAATTTTAGGAGTTTTTTTTTTAATTTTATTTAATTATTACTTTTTAAAGTTTAAAATATCATTAATTAAGATATGAGAGATGATATCACATCACATTATTGTAATGTATGAAAAGCTGGGGAAGTTGGTAGAGATTTTGTGATGCATGAAGCATGTGGCTACCCAACTTTAAAGTGCGTTTATTTGTAACCATGAATTTGAGAAAATGTTCAATGAATTGAATTAAAAGTAGAGTTTGTCAACTTTATTAAAGTTTGTCAACTTTATTAAAGTTTGTGAGAGATTTTATAAATATAATAAAATAAAAAAATATTTTAATAGATTAAAATGGTAAATTAGTATTTTATTTTTAGGCTTAATACTCTATTTTGTCTCCAGTTTCGTTCGAAAATGTCAAATTAGTCCATTCTTTAAAAAATGCGTTAATTACGTCCTCACTTAATAAAATTTGCATCAATGAAATCCCTTCCGTTAAATCCGTACAAACGACGTTAATAAGAGAGAAAAATAATTAATGCCGTTTGTACGGATTTAACGGAAGGGATTTCATTGATGCAAATTTTATTAAGTGAGGACGTAAATGACGCATTTTTTAAAGAATGAACTAATTTGACATTTTTGAGTGAAACTGGGACAAAATAGGATATTAAACCTTATTTTTATAATTAAACTTAATATATTACTATTATTATTATTGTAATTTTTTCATACAAAATTTCACCCACACAACACAAACTGTGTGTCCATTCCTTTATATATATATATATATATATATATATATATATATATATATTACGCTTCTTTGTTGAGAGACGTGAAAGTCCACATTAGGAAGTTGTTATTGGTCTTAATCTTCACCTAACCATGATTTATCGGATTTTTCTGCTAAACTATTATTCGCCTCTTTGATAAATTTTCATACAAAACCAATTAAGCCACAATTACCAAACATTAAAAACTTTTCGTTTCTTATGCAGACGTAGATAGGTTAATTATCAATAAGTAATAGTCTTTTTATTATTATTAAACATCTCTATTATTTATCATCAATTCACCCGACTTTCTAATTTTCTTCTTTCACACAAAAACATTGAGTAATACCATGTTTGACTCTAAATAACTTTTTTCGGTGTACATGTAAATGACGTTGAATATTATTTATGGAAACAATTAAATTAAATAATCTAACATTTCGATGAATACATTACACTCAAGTGTTACGAATATAAATATTAATATAATTTATTTTGAGTGGATATAATGAATACGTTGTCAATACATAAAATACCAGACAATTTTTTAAAATTAAAATTACAAAATAAATAAGAAAAAATATTGATTCTTTCGAAGAATTATGATTGATATTTATTTAATAAAATAAAAGTGAATAAACTTTGATAAATTTAATACATAATGTATTCGATTAATTGTAGTGTAAGAAAAGTTTATAAAAACTGGATTCAAAACAATCGTATAAGAGGAAACTTGTAAATCAATTTAGCACAATATAAATATTGTTAAAAACTTATTTTAACAATTAGCTTTTAATGTTTCCTTTTTCTATTTATTGCAAAACCTGCAATATCTATAAAAAGAATCCGTGAAATATATAAAAAAAAATGTAGATAAATACGTATCATTTATACACTTAGAGAAATAGAGTATATATACAAGAGAATAAAAATTCAAAACTTATAAATATAACATCTTCAAAAGAAACTAGTCTAATACCAATATACACTAATATAATGGGTGTTACTCCCTCCACCACCACCTCATTCCCCTCTCTTTATTTTCCTATTACTATTTTACCTTTAGTAAAATTTTAGGGTTAATATTTTTTAACTTCTACCCACTCCAATCTTCTACATGTATGCAGCGACAACTCTTCTTTCTCTTTATCGTTCGTCCCCTCATTGTTTCATTGTGCTCTTCTTCCTCTTTTTCACGTTCCACTTCTTCCTCTTATTCTTTAATTGTGATAGAATTGTGGTCTCAGAGTGTGGTGAACTTTCATTAGCTGATGTGCTTAGTGAGAGATTGCAAGTGGTGGTGGAAGCAATTGATCAGCCGTGCCAAGATCGGTGTGTGGTGGTGCTTGAAGGATTCGTCGTGAAGATGCGTAATAAATCCTAAAACAATAAACGTATAATCTTTAAACGGATGTGAGCATCCCTCAGCAGATGTCAACCTCCGTTTAAGGGAAAACGGATGTTGATATCCGTTTTGCCTTAAACGGATGTTGACATCCGTTGACGTTTAAAGTTACATGTTTATTTTTCAATTTATTTTTATTAGTTTATTTTTTTATATTAATTTTGGAGATATTTTAATAATGTAATTTATATGTTTTGATGGATTATTTTTTAATATATTTTTGATGTATTTTAATAATGTATTTTTGAAGATCTTTATTGTTATTAGTTTATATTTATATTTTTTTTGTATTTTGCATTTATATATAATTAGTTTTTTGTTTTAATGTTTTTGTATTCTTTAACAATTTTATAATTATATAAAAAATTATTTATTACTTTAATTATATGAAATATATAATTTTATTATATTAATATTTTTGTAATTAAAACAAACGGATGTGGTGGAGTTGGAGGTGGAAATCTGGAAAGAGAGAGAGAAGAAGAGTTGGCAGGTGGGGCTGAGTGAAAAGTAAAAATGGATAGAAAGATATGATTTGAGTTTAAAGTAAATAAATAGGGTTAAAAGTAAAAAAAGTTATTTTTGTAATTAATTTTTTTTTTTGCAGAAGGTTGAGGAGGTGGAGGGAGAAGTGGTGGTGGTGGAGGGAGCAACACCCTAATATAATTAGTCAAAATGGGTTTAACTCGTGAGTCGATCCAGTCCACCACGGATTTGAGTCGGATTGAGTTTGAAAAAATGTAATTTTTTTATGCGGATTAGTTTTCAACCTAGCTCACTTAGAACCTGGCTCATTCGGGTTGAATTCGTGGTGAGCCAGGTTGGCTCACCAACCCACTTAATTTAATTTAATTATTTATTATTTTGTATTTCAATATTATTAATTAGATTTTTTTTATTATATCGTAGATGGGGATAAAAAAATATGTTTTAAGAGAGAAAAATATTATAGATTTATTTATTCAAGACTCTAATATTATAAATGGACAAATGATACAAAAATTATCAATATATCATTAAAGATCTGTGTAAGTTTAATAGGAGGAATGAATTTTTTTTGTCAATTTTAAATAAAGGTCAAGGGGTTAAGTTTCACAGTAAGATTTTTCTTTAAGTTGTTGTAATAAATTTATGAATGTAATTACACTTAAATAAGTTTCAAGTTACATTTTGGACCACTTTTTTTTTGTTAAGTTACCATTCATTTTTTTTTTCAATTGAGTAGCATTAATCTTTAAAACATGTTTAATTTTTTTTTGTCTTTTTAATATTTGTTTGTCATAATCAATACGTTTTTGCATTCTTTAATGATATATAATGCTAATATTAACAATGAAAGAAATTTAATATTAAACTTAAACAAAAGGAAATTTATTAATTTATATGAACACGATTTTAAGAAAAAAATATCACATACTTACAATAAAATTTGATCATCCAAAACTTATTCAAGTCTTATAAATAAAAAAGTTGATTGTAAATGGAGTCAGTTTCTTACATCAAATCTGGTTTAATTCAATTAAAACAATCCGATTTTTCAAGGGTTTTTTTTTTATCAGTTTAGTTTTTTCCGTTCATGTGGTTTTTGAAATTAATATTTTCAGTTGTCATAAATTTTTTCGGCTAATAAACACTTCTACAATGAGATTCAATTTTGCTTTCAGGAGAAAAAGGGAAGTGATTGGTATTAGTATGAATTTATGATGCCCGATTTTTCCATTCAAAAGAAAAAATGTAATTGATCAATGTATTTATACTTAGACTTTAGTTCGAGAACCATAATGAAAGAGGCTCTAAATTTAAGAACTACATAATATTATATTGTAATTTCAGAGAACAAAATCAAATCCAGTTACATCTTAGGAACACAGATGACATCATCTTAAAATTTGAAAATTCGTGATTTTACCACCATAAATACTGTAATTCACTTTGACTTATTATTATATTGTATCTGGGTTATATAGATGTGCCTGGTGATAATGTATTATGTATGAACTCCCTTAATGCCAGTCAACAAACAATGTCAGATTTTTCTATAATAATAATAATAAGAATAATGGGCTGAATGATTCTATAAAATATAAGCCCAGTCCTTACTCGTATTTTAATAGGATGAAAAGCATGGAGCAGTAACCGATTGATGTAGAATCACCTAAAGGATTGCTAACAACTTGCACATAAAGCACCCCAATATTCACGAGGGCATCATCATTGATTTAAAAACATAACTACAAAAACATACACCGAAGATACAAAAGCAGGTGAATGTTAGTTCTGTTTCTCATCACAATTAGTATTTCTATCAGTCTAGTCTTCTGCTGCATCTTCGATTTCTTCATCCTCTGGCACTCCTCGAAAGTAGAGAACATTGTTACATCTACAAATACAAACAATGAAATAAGAGAAAGTTTACAAGAAATAAACATTAAGAGACAAAGAGAACAAATTTTGATGGGACAAAGAACATTAAGAGCAAAACCGAAGATTGATGGAACAAAGAGAGCATTAAGAGCAAAATCGAAGATTGATAAGAATAAAAGAACAAGTTTACAAGAAATAACAGAAAATATGAGAATGAAACATGGAAGATTAAAAAAAAACTAGCAAACTGCGGCATTGATTGCCTAAGAGAGTTACCAGAGGGTCACACAGTGATTGTCAGTAATTTGGTCCATCTCATACAACTTGGCCTTGACCCACATAGATTGCGACCAAAAAAGTCCAAAAAACTAAAAAGTCGTTATTGAAAAAACTCATAGGACGAAAATATCCACAAGACCCTATGGATTAGGACCAGGGCCTTTTCTTTTACCATGAAAAACATATAATAATAAACTATTATCATTACAGTTTGTATATTTAACAAAAACCAAGACTAACTGAGATTAAGTGTAATAGAGAAACAGCATAGACAAGATTTATCCACTGCTTTCCAATTTAGCCTCATTGTTCTTGTAAACATTTAGAAAACATATTAATAACTCAAATAGTAGTCCTTCAGAAGGACAAGAGAAAATAAACAACTAAAGCTGCAACGAATCATCAAATATGTTTGAGATATAATTATTTTCCTTACTCAATGGAACTAAGCAGTTATGATTACTGATATCTTTGAACATTAAAAAACAAAAAGATTTTGTGCCTCATGCAATTTATAAAGAGAGCATTCTATCAAGTAAAGTTTCAGCAGAACTAAGCTAATCAATCAAGAGACTCCTATAGATAATTTTAAGCAATCACAGGCCACTAACAAAAAAATGAGCCTAATGGCAACAACCCTCCCACTAATACTATAAAGCCAACCAAAAAATAAACTTCCAAACACGCCTTTCTGTATTGCTCACAAATCTACTCAGATTCACCAAGTTTTGAATAAACAGTCACAAGGGCACTGCAACAAACAGGGTCTAGTCCTAATCCTGAAGCCACGACACCTTCAAAAGGAATGCATGTAACTGCTTCACCCACAAGAGCGACCTACAAATGTTGCTCTGTTCGGAATGAAGCCGTTCAAATTGAATGAACATTAAGATAACAAGGTTAACTTGTTGCTAGGGTAATGTTGTTGGCGCACCAAAGACAACACTTGTGCTTAATGAGTTGATGAACAAGAGTTGGCCCTTACTTTGTTATGGATGTGTCCTAAGATACAATAATTTTGAAAAAAAATAAAGATGAAAGAAAGAAAAGGATATAAATGGAAAAAAAAAATCACCTTGCATGTAGTAAATATCAAATCGCTAATTAAATTCTTCATAAAAATAAATATTTAAAAAATTTATAATGTAAGTAATTTATGCGTATTTGATATTTGATAAGCAAATTCATATACTTTTTACATTTGATACATAAATACTTATATTTATTTACATGAAAATTATAGTGAGGACCTATTAGTGAGTGTAAGTGTCTTTCATGGATGAATTGGAGTATTTATTATAATAACATATTAGAAAAAAATTAATTATATTTAAAAGTTAAAATTATTGTTTCGGTTAGACTCAAATGTTATATTGATTACAAAATATATATATTTTTTAGTTTATTACATTTAAATATATTTGTTGGCGTTGCTATATTTTTTTTATTACTTTATCTTAGTTTGAATATGTTAATTGATGATATGATTGAGTAATGTCAATCAATAATTTCATTATATCAACATATTATTAGTTTCCATATAAATATTTTTTAATTAAAACTATAAACATTGTGTTTTGGAGGTCTAATTATTACATTTAGTAGTACTAAAAACATTTTGAAATACTTTCTTAAAATTTGTTTAAGAATATACAGAGTGATACGAACCTATATGAATCTAATTAAGCATAGTCATATGAATATCACATTGTATTAGTTAATCAATTGACAAAAAAGAAATACATTTTGTCCTGGAAGAGAGAGCACGATGAAACTTGGACCAGTGAGTTATGATCGAGAAGAAGTGGGCTGTGATCGAGAAGGAGTGAGTTATGATCGACAAGAAGTGAGTCATGATCGACAAGAAGCAAAAGAGAGATAACGAATTTAGTTTTAGGGTCAGCCCCATCCTAACTCTATCCCAACCTATCTCTATCCCAACCCACTTTACATGGGGTTTAAGGGGATGGGACTTTAGAAAAGCCCCCCGTTGAGTGGGCTAAAATATAGGGTTTAGTTTCAAAGGGAGCCAGGGCCAGCCTATGAATCAAGGGCTCAAATGACACCTCTAATTGTCATAGAGTTGCACTGGGTTTGTGCAATAGTCGCAAGGTAGAAGAGGAGACAAGTGAGGTATAGGTATAAACTTTGAAAGAAAATTCAATAAGCTGAAATCATTTTAGTACCCAAAAAAATAATTAAAAATACCTCCATAAAATACCCCTCTAACACGTTAACATAGAAGGCCATTCACGGGATCATTAACACCATCAGTACAATACAAAATGCTGTAACTTTGGCTGATAGAGTGAAATGTAACACGACGGCAGTGCATATGGTGATCAGAGCAACTACACCTCTATAGTATGCTATTGAAAAATCTTTATACTTCCACCATATATATTAATACCATCATATGAGATGCGTAATACAGGATAAAGAAAGACGACAAAGACAAAAAATAATTTTATGCAGCACATTATAAAAGTGAACTGCAGGGAAGAAATGTTTTGTTGTTAGCTTTCAATTCTCATGACTTGAGGACCTCTATAGTCTAACATGACATGTTACCACAATTTCACATTCTCAATTCCATGAACAAAATCGAAGGGGGTCTAACAAACCCTTATGCAATAGCAAAACACAAAAACCACTAGGCATAAAGAATAGTTAATGGGAATTTACCTGATTAAAATTTCTCCCAAATTTCCAGTAAACTGTCCCTCAATGTACTCCTCAGTGTTTGCCAGCTATAGAGAAATTCAGATATTAAGAGATTAAAAAAAATATATCAACTAAGACAAGAGGCTGAAAATATGATTATTTTACGGGAACAAAAACCTCGGAATTTAACTTAAATATATACCTGCAAGTTCATATACGAATCAACAGAAACCAGATACCCTGGAAAAAAAAACATAGAAGACATGATAAACAAAATGAAATCCATGCAGTATCTGACGGCCTAAGGAATACACACTGAAACGAAGCGTTTAGCAGTGAAATAACAGTAGAGAAAATGATCCTTAACAAAGCAACATACCCTTGTACTCTATTCCCCATTTGAGTTTCACAATTACTGGCTTCCCAGTCAAATTATTCAAGAAAGGCTTGGGATTAACTGGTACAGTCTGCAAAACACGAAGTAAAAATGAAACTTAAACAAATTAGAAAATAAGGCACAGTCAATCACACACTGTGATCTTCTATACTCAAACAACATTGGCTTAGTGCCAGAAGCAGAGGTAAAATCGGAAACGCTCCGTTATGGAGATGCGGGTTATGTTAATGAAATGCATGGAAGATGATGAACGAGAGAGGGAATAAGAAGGTACTCACAGCCATAGTAGAATGTTATGCTATGCTCTACGAGATCGTAACTGAAACCTGCAACTATGAAGCTGCGAGGGCACAAACTGGTAACTAGGGTTTTGTACCCCGGGCCAGCGAAGTGTAAAACGAAATTCAGATTCAGGCCCTTTTAGCAGCCCACTGGGCTTATATACGAACTTTCACTAAACTGTGCTTTTTGAGTGTTTCATCCTACACCTCCAACATCTCTAAAAATTCATTTTTAACCTTATGACATCTTGCACCTTCAACCTTTTTAAAAATTTCATTTTTAACTTTCTTCTCTTTCTAATTAAAGAAATTTTATTTTCTTCTCTTTTTCTATTAAAGACACTCTACACCACCTTAATAATAATTCTAATTTAATTTAAAATTTAAATATTATTTAATATAATTTTATATTTTAATAATTATTAAAATATGATTTATATTATAATAATAACTATATTAAAAAAATAAAAATAAAATAATTAAAATAAAAATAAAAATAAAATAATAATAATAATATAAAATTTGACTTAATATATTCAAATATATTAAATTATATTAAAATATTAAAATAAATTAAACAATTATTAAAATGTAAATAAAAACAAAAAATTTTAAAAACTTGTTATCGAAAATCAGTTTTGTTTTTTATTTAAAATTTAATCAATATTTATTTTAACTAAATATTATAGCATTATTTATTATATTTTTATATTTTAATAATTATTAAAATATAATTTATATTTTTATA